CCCTACCGCCTTCTATCCTCATACCAAATTTGAGATCGATACCTCTTTTTCTGGCCAGGTTATAGCGAAAAAAAACTGTTCAAAATTGATGGCGTTAAATTTTCAAAATCAATTTTTAGCAATTCTAGACCTCGTATAGCGCAAAACAAAAACCACCATTAGACTCCTCGTGACGAGCTGCATCGAATTACCCATTTTACGCAAAACTATCAACTTTGAAATTTGACCTTTTTTACCTGACCTTGACCTGACCTCCACCAGAAAGTAACCTAAACCGTACCTGATGGTCTTATAACCAACAACATTGAGTTGGAAATGAAAAATTGGCCATAAAACATGCATAGCACAACCTTAGTAAAGTTGGGTTCATGTGCTGACCCTTGGTGACCTGACATGTGACCTGACATGGTATTATCAGTGACCTCTTATAGCAACATATGTACTAGGCAACTGACGCCCTATCGCTGATTTTCGACAAAATGCGTTTACTCGGTGTTATAGCATATTCCCTAGAAGACCTGTGAACGGTGAAACATTTTATCTTTGACCTGACCTCAGACCTGTGACGTCATCGGTGACTTGAGGTCAATGAAATTTGGTTTCCTTCGACAAATTTGACAGGGCTATCGAACGCCGTTTGAATTTTACGGATCCGTCCAGTAGTTTCGGAGATACGGGGGGAGGAGGTAAAAAATGCCCCTCCCCACCGCACGGAAGGTGGTCGGGAGGCCCACTGCCTGCCGGGATATTTGACCCTCGCCGGACGAGGGGGGGGGGGGGTGCCGCCCACCGGCCATCGGGTTTTTCACGAAAGCTCCGAACACGCTGGCGATGGAGAGCTGAAACTAGGATACCTGACCTTTGATTAGAGATGGCAAAAGATGAAAATTTTGGGAACCAGACTCGAACCAGACCCGGCTGGACATTTCTGGAACCAGTCGGACCCGGTCTTAATTGGAATCGGAACCAGTTAGACCCGTTCCCCAAAAGTCAATTAATGCAAACTACTTGTAGGTATCATTAGTTGCATCATGTAAAACAGCCTATTTCCCACAGGGAATACTCATGAGATACTGTGTGCAAAGAAACATTCACTTCATATTTTGCGGTAATTACGAGCGAGCGAGCGCAGCGAGCGAAGTGAGTCTTTTCAATATAACGGAAAAATCTCAGTATGAGCGGCCCGGCCCGGCCCGGCCCGGCCCGGCCCGGCCCGGCCTGTAACGCTTTTGAGAGCCTTATATCTCAGCAACCGCTGGACCGATTGGCCTGCGGTCTTTTTTGTTGGGTAGCCCAATCCCTTCTACCCCGTAATGGACTACTTTTGATACATCTCAGTGACCGTCGTGGCACGTGCCACGTGAAAAGTCAAGGGTGTTCAAGCTGTTTTGCAAAAGTAGTGATTTTGAGAGGCTCATATCTCAGCAGCCGCTTGGGCGATTGACTTCCGGTAATTTTTGTAGGGTAGCAAGTCAACATCCCTTCTACCCAAAATAGGATACTCTCGAAGCATGTGGGTCACCCCCAGTGCACGTGCAAAATACAACAATAAGAGGTGCCAAATTTGTTCCCATTTCAGTAACTCGGTAATTACTGGGGCGATTTCGCTGAAACTTGGCATACAGGTAGGCACCCACCAGGCAATGCATTCCCATGTGTTGCGGTTAGGGTGCTACTGCACGTGCGCACGTGCAGGGGGCGTTTCCAGATCTCGAAAACGGCTGGGCCGATTGCGCTCAAATTTGGTACACGGTTGGGGATCAGTTAGTAGGGTGCCGTGCAAAAGTCAGTTTGGGCCCCGTTTGCACGTGCGCACGTGCAGAGTGCCGCTTCCAGATCTCAGGAACGGCTGGGCCGATTGCGTTCAAATTTGGCACACCGCTAGCGACCGGCTAGAGGAGTGCTTTGCGCAAGCCCGTTGGAAGTACCCTCTCGCCCTTCCGCACGTGGAGGGCAGGGCTCACTATCTCGCTCGCTCGTTCTTCGCCCAAAAGGCGTTTTACTGGTGTGTAGTGTGCAAGATGTATAGTTAATGGCAGGACCCGGTTGGACCCGTCAGAAAAGTTCCAGGAACCGGTCTGGACCCATATGGGTCCAGACTGGTTCTTTGGACCGGGTCCTCGGGTCCACATTTTGTCACCTCTACCTTTGATTCAAGCCGGATCTTCTAACAACAACCGAATTTTCGAGTCAGATTAAGTCACTGACTTCTAACGTCACACCTAAGTGAAACTCCGCACGGTCTTCAGATGTCGCAACTTCGCAACGCCCTCACTGCCAGAGGAGTTTTCATAGGGAGATGAAACTTACAGCTGACCTGGTATCTATTAGGAGTCTCACAGCATTTATTTCTCGGATTTTTCCTTAAGGTCATATGAGGTCAGGTCATTTTCGTGACCTCACCGTTATAAGTCAATGGTGAAAAATGAAAACTGCTTTTTTGGCGCCGGGAACGATCTCAAACTATCCCAACCACACGGAATCGTGATTTCATGCAATCCTTGCAAGTTTCGATGCTTCACTTTTGCATTGTTGACCTTGCGTGACGTCATTTATGAGATCACGGATGAGAGTTTTTCGTCATAAGAGCCATAAGAGTCATACGAGTTTTTTTCAATAGCTTCTGATCAAATTGAGCTAGCGAGTCGGGAAAGCCACCGATGGATTTGGGAAGACCTGCCGAATCGAATGATATGGACATGGCCTCATTCGACCAAGTTGGTGACCGCGGGAGGGGGCACTGACCTGACCGTGACCTGAGGTCAGTACCTAACATTGAACTCACCCAAATAAAAAAGTATACCATTCGACGCGCTTGAGCAAGGCAAACACGATGTTGTCAAAATCACGGCTCTGTGATCATTTTTTGCCAAGTTATTCGCCAAAAACCGAACCTGCACCTTGGGCCAGTTGACCTGACCTCAGAAGTCAGAGGTCACCGGTTGACCTGAGGCCTTAACCTTCCAGGCGGTGGGGGGGGGGGGCAATTTTTTGCCCCCCCCCTTTAGTTTTTTCGATATATCTCGAGAACCGCTGCGCCGATCGTCACCAAACTTTCAGTACCCTCCCGGGAGCAGCTAGCGCACATGGTGACCAAAAATTTTTTCCAATGGCTATGATAGGTTGGCCGCTAATGACGTCAGAGTGACGTCATTTTTGCCATTTTCGACTCAAAAAAAGGTTTCGCGGGAAGAGCTGTCAGGCCTACAGCTTTAGAGATACATAAAAATGTCTCAAACATAAAAGGTGTGGAATCAAGAGGGCTACAAAACTGCTATTTCGGTTTTTCGATTTTTTTTGATTTTGACCCCCAAAAATAAAAATAGATTTTTCGAATATAATAGCCGAAAAATCCAAAAAGTTTTTTGAATTTCGAAAAAACCGGAATATATGTGATAGTCCCTACCGCCTTCTATCTACATACCAAATTTGAGATCGATACCTCTTTTTTTGGCCAAGTTGTAGCGAAAAAACTGTTCAAAATTGATGACGTCAAATTTTCAAACTCAATTCTTAGCAATTCTAGACCTCGTAGCGCAAAACAAAGACCACCATTAGACTCCCCGTGACGAGCAGCATCGAATCGATACCCATTTTATGCAAAAATATCAACTTTGAAATTTGACCTTTTTTGACCTGACCTTGACCTGACCTCCACCAGAAAGTGACCTAAACCGTACCTGATGGTCTTATAACCAACACCATTGGGTTGGAAATGAAAAACTGGCCATAAAATATGCATCGCACAACCTTAGTAAAGTTGGGTTCATGTGGTGACCCTTGGTGACCTTTGGTGACCTGACCTGTGACCTGACCTGGTATGACCAGTGACCTCTAATAGCAACATATGTACTAGACAACTGACGTCTTATCGCTGATTTTCGACAAAATGCGTTTTACTCGGTGTTATAGCGCTTTCCCTAGAAGCCCCGTGAACGGTGAAACATTTTGTCTTTGACCTGACCTGTGACGTCATCGGTGACCCCGAGGTCAATGAAATTTGGTTTCCCTCGACAAATTTGACAGGGCTATCGAACGCCGTTTGAATTTTCCGGATCCGTCCAGTAGTTTCGGAGATACGGGGGGGGGGGGGCAAAAAAATGCCCCCCCCTCCGCGCGGAAGGTGGCTGGTAGGCCCACCGCCTGTCGGGTTAAAATCGGGTTTCAATCGCTGCGTCTCGTAACGGCGCACACGTTCGTTTTTCCGCGACGCTCTAAGGGGCAGAACGGCGAGGTGGGGTCGTAGCCCCCCCCCTTCCCTCGGTCGGCGCGTTTGTAGAAAACCAATAAGTCCGGCCTTGGGGCCAATAAGGGTCAGAAACACTTGTTTGGTGAGAAGGTTGAACATTTCCCTTATTGGATGGCTGGGAGTCTCGGTCAGTTAGGAAGACCCTTTGGTCTTTTGGGCCATGTGATGAGAGGATAGTGAGACACATTTATTTTAGTCGACCAACGACTGATGCTCCGCAGTGACTTTAATCAATGCAGGTGGACGGAACTGTCCCTGTGAGACCAACGGCCCAGTTATTCAAACAGTCATGGACTATGTATATTGTGTATGTAGTGCGGGCTAGCATAACTGCAGGCGCCGATAGCCGTGACATCTAACGGTTGTTTTTTTAGGCTTTGCGGTATAGCATAACTTCAGGCGCCGATGACAGTGCCATCTAACGACTGTTTTTGTAGCTTTGCGGCGAAGCATAACCTCAGGCGTCAATGACAGTGTCATCTAGCGGCTGCTGTATAGCTTTGCGGCACAGCATAACCTCAGGCGCCGACGACAGTGCCATCTAGCGACTGTTCTGTAGCTTTGCGGCACAGCATAACTTCAGGCGCTTGATCCTAGGGTGATATACTGATATAGCGGCAGCATTGTTATTGATTTTCAAGTGCTGGTCCGCCGGATAAATACCGAATAGAAGCCATTCACTGTGTACTGAGTGGGGCAGTGGGCAGCTTCTGCGATACCTATCTGACGTTTTTCTTACTTTTCCGCGCAGGTGGAGTCTCCCTTGGCCTGCGCCGGTCGGCTGACGGACCTCTCCAGCATCGTCTCGGCGCCGTTCCGCGCGGCCACCATCTTCGTGGGCCTGGCCGTCATCATTGCGCTGCTCTGCATCATCTGCTTCCTCATGTTCTGCTTCCTGCGCTCCAGCACCGTGTTCCACCTCTGCGCCTGGATGCAGCTGCTCTCCGGTGAGACTCGGAGCGCGGTGGGACGGGATGGTGGGACGGGAGGGAGGGAGTGGGGTTTTGGAGGGGATGGCCGATGGAGGAAGCTTGTTGAAACCGGGGCGAGGGCTGCGTTGTACTTTGACAGGTTAAAAATGTATATAAGTAAGAACAATCTGCGAGGAATTCCCAGTAGGAAACTTATATGTAGATGAGCAGTGATATTGATGGCCAATGCCAATGGGTGGAAAGGATACGTGTTCTATGCGATGCGATGAACCCGGACCTGGCCAGGTCTGTAGCGTTTCAAGTATTTGTAAGGCGTAATGGTTTCCAATCGGCTGACCTGCCCCACTCCTCCGTTGTTATCTATCTGCTGGTTGCTCTGCTGGTGTTGACCTAACCTGACCCGCCCCTCCCCCGCAGTTATCGGTCTGTTGGTCGTTCTGCTGGTGCTGACCTGCCCTGACCCGCCCCTCCCCTGCCTCAGGTATCTGTCTGCTGGTGGCTCTCCTGGTGATGACCTGCCCTGATCTTCCCTTCCCCGCATAAATCTGTCTGCTGGTTGCTCTCTGCTGGCACTGATGTGACCTGACCTTTCCTCCCTGTCGCAGGTATCTGCCTGCTGGTGGCTCTGTTAGTCTTCCCAGTCGGCTGGGACGCCGGCCGTCTGCGGGAGGTCTGCGGACCGGAGGCCGACAAGTACCACCTGGGCCGCTGCGGCATCCGCTGGGCCTACATGCTGGCCATCGTGGGCGCCATCGACGCCCTGGTGCTGGCCGCGCTGGGCTTCGTGCTGAGCTCTCGCGAGGAGCAGCTGTGGCGGCAGCCGGAGCCGGCCGGCGTGCCGGCGCCCCCCGGATCGGTGCTCTATGAGGCGGCTTCGGTGGCAGGCTCGCGTCGCTCCATGAACCTGCAGCCCGTGATGCTGATGCCGCAGCTGGACCAGGACCGGTACTCGGAGTTCTCGCAGAGGTCGGCGGTGTCGGCCCGGTCTCCGCCCGCCCCGGCCCATAACTTCCACCTTTAAACGGCGGTGAAGGGGGAGACAGCTGTCCGTCCAAGCTGCTACCTACTTCTGTCCGCAATCTCTATCTATAGCTGGCTATGGAGCAGGAGACCGTTGTCGACTAACCTACAACGTTCATCCGAAGGTGATGAACGTTCAAGGGACACACCAATCGGTCTCCGATAGGGCTTACTGTGGCCAGCCCCCATCTGTGGGGCGTCGGTGGACCGGTAGGAAAACATCGGTGTCATAATCGCCATTATCCGTCCACGACTTGTGTTGACGATTCCTGCTGTCACTGAATTATTTTACCGAGATGCTGTACCTATTGCCTTATGTGGAATTTGCTTGTTACTTGTTTTTAATTTCAATATTCGGTACGCGTCAGTTTAGGTCAAGCCATAGCACCATAGCGTTGCTCTGTGTATGAAATGTTTTTCTCAGACGCAGTTGAATGTGTTCAGACATGTTCGGAAAATGGACCCACTTCATGACTTCATTACATACAACAGCGCAAATGTTTACTCACTAATATTCTGCAGCTGGTAAGTAGCTTGTGGTGTCGTGATGCATTACTGCAGACACCGTTAGTACATACTTCCTGCCACAGTGCTATGCGATGTAGTCCCTGACGAAGCAACGGACAACACTCATTTGTAACTATGTGCCAATCAAAGGCCAGAACAGGATCACACACCACTGGAGCCACCTGCATACTATGTAGTGTGAACAGAGTTCGAGAGATCCGTGCCAGGAATCACCGTTTGACTTTTATGGGGAAGCCGCAGTGGAATCAATGCCACAATGTAGAACATGATTGCTTACTAGCTGTGTTCTGCATTGGTTGGCTTTTCTGTTTTGCTCCCGACCTTTCCGCTGGATATTTGTGGGTGTGTTTGAACTCGCATTCGTGAGCACGCGTATGTTTAATGTTCTTTTGTCAGATTTGTGTCTTAGAAAAACATAGTAAGAAAGTGCGTAGTGTAAACCTTACGAATGCACTTTATGTATCTTATTATGAAGCGTATTGATCTTTTAGTGACGTAATAAACCGAGTGAACCGCCTTTAGAAACGTGAGCATGAAGTGTTTACTGAGCGTGCTGACTTGTATGTCTCTATTTATATATGCATGCTGAATTATGCAGTTTGAATGACTGACTTTGTTGTTAGTTTTGTATCATAGCTCTGAAAGTCTGAAAATAAATATTTTTAGATCCAACATTTTATCTAATGCTTTGCAACTGGAAATTCCAATGCGTTGAGTTTATGAGACATGTTTTGTGATGACCAATCATATATTACATTACATAGGTCGAAGGCAGGCACAAGATACACGAGCACACAAACAACCAATACACTCAATGCGTCGCCTCTGTCTTCGAAAACACAATAACAAAGCACCAACGCTCATCGGCTCATCTGGACCGATGCTCCTCATCCTTCAACTAGTGAAACTGACTCTCGGAGTCATTTCACAATATTACATCGGGCATTCATACTAGGCTCAGTTGCGTCTATGTGACAAAGCGTACTTTTCGCCAATCGCTTCAGCCATGGCTCATGATACACTGATGACCATTTCACATCCATCAACAGAGGCTGTCGTACGAAGAAAGAATAGCAGGGCTCCACGCGACAGCGCCGCCACCTACGTGAAGCGCCCCCTACGTGTTGGCGGCGAGCGAAGGTAGCTTGAAGCCTCCTCCTAGTGGGGGCTGGTTTCGACCGGTCGTGGCGGGGCTGCCGATGGCAGGGAACCGTGTGGGAGGCCGCAATGCCTCGGCGCCGACCGGCACTCCGCTCCGCAAACGACTCCTCTGCTGCTTCTTCTGTCGGGAGAAACAAAACGTTACCGGCGTGGGGAATGGGGAATATGGGCTGATAAAACAGATCATATATACATAGGTATAGGCATTAGTATTTGGTAGAACAAGGACAATGTAAAAAAGAAAAAATAAGCAAAAGTGAAAACCAACCCGATAATTGCATAATACATGATACGAAGAAAAATGCTGAACTCTTGAAAACGGACCATTGCACCAAATTCAAAATGATATGGCAACAAATCTATTACCTACCTGGTTGATGAAAAGTTTCTTGAACTCGGCGAGCTGGCCCGTCAGTCGGTCGACGTCCCGTTTGTACTCTTGGATTTGTGATTCGTACATGTTCAGCTCAGACACCAAGCTCTGTAGGGAATGGAAACAACAGAACGAATTTAGGTAAGTAATACGCATCCGTAGAAGGTGAAGATGATACACCGGCGCTTTATTCATCGGCCGCTATCTACATACTTGACCTGCCGTGTCGCTGCCTAACCTTCATTTGCCGTGTCCTCTGTCGTAGCGTGTCCTGACAGAGCAGCAACTTCTCCGCCGTCTCCGGACCGGGCTGTCGGGCCAGCACCTGCTTCAGTTCCAGGTAGAGACGCTGCTTCTCCTGGATCTGGGCAGATGTAACACCACATTTATTCGCTAGAAAGGCCAACATATTTCCGTACACAGCTGACTTTTTCTCTTTTTTAGCCATGCTCTATCAACGGCTGGAAACAAATTTATTTATCTTCCTGATAACAGAAAACATGTGCCATACGAATAACTTTCCTCAGATGGAATTCAAAAGCGCGCCAAAAGTATGCGATTGGATATCAGAGTTACCGAAACATACAGACCTCTAGTTCTTTCTTCGTTGCGTCCTGTGTTTTAGCGATGAGTCTCCTCTGTAGTGTCTGGATTTTTAGAACCATCTCGTATGTTCCGGGATCAGTGCCCTGCAAAAGGTGTGTATAAACGTGACAGTGACCGCAGCATAATTTGCCGATTATTTTTTATCTTTGATCTGTTGAGCGCATTCCAAAATGTCCATTTCTTGCGGCATAGGTAGGTATGCATCTGTATATCCACAGTTTACTGAGCAGTTACGAGTGATTTACGTTCCCATTTACCAGCAGTGTGATTCTGATCAAAGTTATGAAATGCAGCGATAAGTATTCATATAATTGCAGCGCACCAGCAGTGGAGTCGTTTCCCTTCCCCAACATATCCACCGGTCTGCATTCCCCGACCCACCTCGAGTTTCCGCCAGCGGTGCACGTTCTGCGGGTTCTGCAGCTCGTCTTCCAGCGCCTTACACATGGAGCGCTCCTTGAGCAGCGCTCTGTGCATGTGGTACATCTCCCGACGCATGTCCTCCAGATTGTGTACGCTCCGACTCAGCAGACTCTTCTCGCGTCTGTTGGAAAATAGGTGTCAAAGATGTCATGATTGATCGTCATAAACGTAACAGCTTAATACTATTTCGCTAGAGTACAACATTTCATCTAGGACATGCCCATAACATTTTACCGCGTAACTTGGTTCCTTTCTTTTTGCCTGTGCTCCAAAACCACATGTTACGGATGAAATGCAAAGCTGTTTAGTGTTTACCCACTAGCAGTTCAATTGACCACACGTCAGTCACCTGAGTTTTTTGATTTCCAGTTTGAGCAGTCGGATGTCGTTGATGCGGTCGCGGTACTGCTGCTCGCCCTTGCTGAGCGTACTCTGCTGAATACGAATCTTCTCGTACAGCAGCGCCAGCTCGTCGTTCCGACGCACCAGCTGCGTCCCCAGGATGTCCCGCTCCGTCATTATCTGGTTCATGTCCTTCCGCTGCTTGTTCCTCTCGACCTCGCCGTCGGCCAGTACCTGCCGCCAGATAGGTCGGGGCATTCAGACTGCGCTTGTCGAAAAGCGTAAAAAGGTGAGCCACTCTGCCTGGCGCGCAAGGTTAACGCTGCTGGCGCTACTTGCTTGAATAACCATGCACTGCCACATCTTTATGACCCGGCGGGATTAGTTTGACATAGGTAATACTTGAGAATACCTATGAAACCAAAATAGTCTTTCATTTGGTCATCGTTCAATGAACAAGTGAATCGCGCCGTAGTATCTTTCCTAAATTCTGCTTTCAATTGAACTTTTGGTCCTCTACGTATTTGGACACAGTCAATCAGGACATGGCTCGCAGGCTCGCGTGAAGGAGTAATGTCCACGTGACAGATTTTACACTGCTGGAGTCTGCGCATTCCTGCCTGCAGCCTCGCACCTTGACCAGTTTCTGGTGTTCCATCTCCATGGCGGTGATCCTGGCTTTGAGACTGGCCACGGTGACCCGCTGCTCCTCCAGGTCAACGAGTAGAGCCTCTTTGTCCTTCCGAACTCGGAGGAGCTCTGAAACCAAACCGTGGGACGTGGAGTCAGGCCAAGCGGAGGTCCGTGTAGGTGTACACTCCTGCTAATTTTTGGCTGGTAGTTTAAAACGCAGTATGTTACATAAAAGTATCTTCAATAAAAGTTTGCCCTGAATTTTGCTTCTAAAGTTTTATAGCAGCGCAAAATCTTCCAGCACCTCTCACGCCTCCATGAGTCAAGGGTGTGCTGCGTACCTGCAAAAACACTCACCATTTCCGGAACAAAAAGGGGATGTGTGCCTGCATATGTAGTGGAATTTCCAGCCGTTGGCGATCGTTTGACAAAAATAATACGCAGGCACGGTTTCGATGTTAGACGAGTAAAAAGGTGGGATCATAATAGTGTAGGTTTGGACCGAGTCGGATCATTCATTCCTGGATATTTTTCATATCCAGGAATTCCAGGAAAGGAAGGACCCATTTGCGCCTTTTGCTCGCTCATGCCTAAATGAAGGAACATTGGAAATATAATATTAAAAAAGAAATACTTTATGCGAGGCAGGCACTGATTCCCCGCATGGTGCGACGTGACAGCTCCTTCAAAAGTCACTTTGCTGTAAAAATAAAAAGTATAAAAGTGTTCATAATTTTGCCGGATCAGGCTACTCGGTGTTAACCTTTAGTTATTTTATCTTCTCATTTTTCTTTTCACGTCGTCTCCTAGAAGAAAAGCTCATGCATTGGTGTGTGTACATACAGACCATTTAATAAACTGAATGAAACAATTGTCTTGTATTACCTGTTTGGTCCTTCAGGAGCAAAGTCTCTCTTGCTGCAGTCTCCTCTTTCAATTGATTAATCTGATGGACGACCATTTTGAATTTTCTGTTCATTTCAGTAACTTCATTCTGGAAAAAAAACATTGGTTTTACTCGATAATGAGCGAATGCTCAGTAAGATCGATAAAACCAGTTTCTTTACCTGCATTTAGGATGCATTTGTCTATACATTACCGACCACGACGTCTAAATATGCGAACTTGCCTGCGATTCTATCAGGTTCTTGCTGTAGAGGTTCCGATCACTCCGCACAGCCTCGTACAGACTTTGCTGCTGCTTCAGCCGACTCTCTGATTCGGCCACCCTTTTCTTCAGCTCAAAGATCTCCTGCTCCTTCAGCTTAATCAGACCAGTGATACGGATGTTCTTCTCTGCCAAGCCAGCTGAGTCCATGATGCACCTTGAAACAAGAGGGCGAGTGTTACAGACTGCGGTGGTCAGCTGCTTGGCCACAAATGCATCAACGTTGAAAACGCCACAAGGTTCTTCTTTTTACATACGTGGCATAAGTGGAGCCAAGCAAACATTTACGATCGCTAGTTGCGAGACTGACTTTTCTCGTTCCCTCTGCATCTGCGCCACGATGAAGCGCTGCTTGAGGATGGCCTGTCGCAGCTGGTCGCCCTCATGCTCCAGACGCTTCTTGGCCTGGTCGTGCACCTTCAGCGTATTCTCTTGCAGCTTATACTCGGCTGTGGGAACAGGACAAACCACAGCTCAGCTAAACACTCATTAGAGCTTCACCTGGCGTAACATACCTTTTAATGGCTTTTATGTTTCTCAGGTCCAAATGCTGATTGTATGTAGCCTGGCAAATAGTTTCTCATGTTTATTACGGAGCGAGCGAAGCGAGCGGAGTCTCATACTGAATTAAGGGAAAATTCTGAGTATGAGCGGCCGGCCGGCCGGCCGGCCGTGGGGACGCTCTTCAAAAGCTAATATCTTAGGAACGGGACATCCGATTGACAAGCGGTCTTCTTTACTGAATGTCACTTGGACGTAAAAGTTCTGTGGTGTGATGGCCACCATGCGTTCTTGCCAAACACCGCACGTGGCGCGTGGTAAAGTTGGACATTTTTTAAGAACCCCCAAAATTGCAACCTCAATAACGGCACAACGGTTGGGCCGATTGAATTGAAACTCGGTACACAGTTAGGTCTCCATCAGATAATTCATCTGCATGTGTTAAGGTTGGGGTGCTACAGCACGTGCGCACGTGCAGGGGGCGCTCCCAGATCTCGAGAACGGCTGGGCCGATTGCGCTCAAATTTGGTACACGGTTGGGGACCAGTAAGTAGGGTGCCGTGCAAAAGTCAGTTTGGACCCCGCTTGCACGTGCGCACGTGCAGTGTGCCGCTTCCAGATCTCGAGAACGGCTAGGCCGATTGCGCTGAAATTTGGCACATCGCTAAAGACCGGTTAGTAGGGTGCAGTGCACAAGTTAGTTGGAGGTACCCCCTCGCAATTTCGCACGTGCAAGGCCCATCCTCGCGCTCGCTCCGTTGGTCGCCCAAAAGGCGTTTTACTGGTGCTTATTTTTAACTAGGCGGTAACATCCAATCAGCATCAAACATCTCAGAATGAATCAGCTTCCAGATTCCCGTAAGATGACAACGACGATGACCGACCCTGCGTTTTGAGGACGCTCTTCTTGAGGAGCTCCCTCTCGTGTCGGAGGCCGTCCATGATCCTTTTCTCGGCCTCCATGGCGCGCTTCATGACGTCCAGCTCCCGCTCGAGCCGGCGCACCTTCATGACGGTGCCCTCGCGCTCCTGTTCGGCCTCCTCGCGCTGCTGCTCTGCCGAGCGCAGCTTCCTCGTCAGCGAGTCGCGCAGCCGCGTCAGGTCCAGCGTCTCCTGGTTCAGGCGCGCCGTCTCCTCCTCCTTCTCCTGAGGATGGGGATGGCGGCGTCAGTGGAATGGTCACGGTAAATCATTTTAAGTCGCTTACAGACAATCCGACATTTCGCTTTCTGTGTTACACTATGCAGTGCACTCCAGACTGGCTGGTCAATCTTTTCCAGTTTTCAGTTTTTTTTTTCAACAGTTTTTCCTCGTACCTTCAGCTCCTGGCCGGTCTGTCGGTTGTACTTTTTGTCTACTGTCTAGTCACTGTATGTACCTTCAGTTCCTGTCCGGTCTGCCGGTTGTATGTATTTTATGTCTACTGTCTAAGTCACTGTACCTTCAGCTCCTGCCCGGTCTGCCGGTTGTACTATATCTCTACTGTCTAGTCACTGTACCTTCAGTTCCTGCCCGGTCTGCCGGTTGTGCTGTGCCTCTATATATAGTTGTACACTACAGTTTCTCCGCGTCTCGCGCTGAAAGTCGCTCCGAATATATTATTCAGTATCTGTACCCACCGTACCTTAAGTTCCTGCCCGGTCTGCCGGTTGTACTGCGTCAGCTGATCGATGGACAGCAGCGCCGCCTCATAGTCCTGCTGTAGCCGCTGCTGCTGCTCGGCCATCTGCTCCGCCTCCTTCATCACGTTCTCGTTCATGAGCTGACGAAGAGACATAATTTCAGTCAGACATTGGTCACCGACAGCGTTCCAAAACGATAAGAATATATTTTTTTCGTGCAGCATGAGCAAAAGCATAGAATTCGGTGTCAAGTAAAGCAATGCAATTTATAGGGAGCAAGTGATCAATGAGGATTATTGCAACCGACCTTTTGTTCCTTCACTACCAAATTCGTTTTGTCCATCTGTTCATTCAGTTGGTCCATCTGAGCCTGTATTTTCCTGTGAACCACGACCGACATGAGCTAACTGAAGTCAATAATAAATGTTTCATTATCCGCAGCCCCCATTCATTTAGGTATTAGTTGTCTTCAGAATAGAGCTGCTTTTTATATTTCATCATTAACCGAGACACGTCGAATGCAAACTTAGGTCCTATTCGATTGCAAATGCACACAGCCAACTGAGCAGTCTAAGTGACACAACTTTACCTATACACGTTAAAAACTACGATTTATTAGTAAAAGATTTTAAAGGCTCATCAAATTATACATATTTTCATGAGTAAATGTAGAACTCACTTGACATCGGCCTGTTTGCCCTCGATGTCCGCTTTGGCGGCCTTCAGGTCTCTCTCAGCGCGGTCCTTTCTCCGCGTCTCGCGCTGAAAGTCACTCCGAAGCACCTGAAATGAGGCATGCATGAAAAATAACGTAGCAGGATGCATATTCGTATTCATGCACAGGTGATAACATCTTACGAATATAGGTAACATATAAGAATATTGGTTCCGCCACGCTAAATCTTCTGCATAAGTTGATCCAGTTCTATCATTGTCCCGCTTATCCACTACGAATAGTTTGCCGGGTTTGAGATGCATCTCCTCCGTAGAGTTCTGCAAATAGCATTCCCAATATACAATTCCCTTTATTCCCGGGGTACAGTGCTGCTGTATGACCTGCATCTTCTCTGTGAGGCTCCACAGGTATGTACATTGTACATATCCGCCTTCATTCCCTGTATCCCAGCGCCTCAGTCTGACCTGCATCTCCTCGGTGAGGTTCTGCAGGCGCGCCTCCGTTTCCAGCCGGCGTTTTTCCGTGTCCTCCTGACAGGCCATGGCTCGGTCCAGCTGAGAGCGCAGGCGGGTCACTTCGGCCAGCAGATCGGTCCGCTCCCGGGTCAGGTCCGCCTTGGTGGCCGACAACTCATCCATCCTGTCAGAGACATATTGCATGGTGTACATATTCGTATGGTAACCATTTGCAGAATCAAATCTAAAACGATGTCAAGCCCGGTAACAGTATCAAATGTCTCCTATGAGTATCTTCTCTGGAAGTACGGCATCGCCTGCTTCATCGTCTTTTGCTGTTGGAAAGGGTCATCTCCGGTGTCTCCTCCTGCGACATCAGCCCAGGTCACTTCTCCCTAGGAGGAATCCAGCGGGCAGCGAGCCGTTCTTACCTTTACCAATTTTCATCTGTCTAGTCGAAAGGCGTGATCCTTTCTTCCCTCCACCATTTCAACCTCTATCTGGAAAACAACTATAAAAGCCGTTTTCACGACGGGCTAACCGGCGAATGAACCTTATTTGACCAAATCTACACCTAATCATTTTATAGAAAATAACTTCATTTTATTAATTTATTTCAGTGTTGTAATCGATGATACTCTCTGATAATATGACAAAGCACTCAAAGCAGGCATATAAGCAATAAGCGCAACCCTAGCTGACAGCTACTTAGCCGTTTTCACGACAGGCTATTCGGCAAATGCACCTAATTAGACCAAATCTGCACCTAATCTCTTTTACAGCAAATATCTTCATTTTATGAATTCATTTCAGTGTTTTAATCGATGATACTATGTGATAATATGACAAAGCAGGCATATAAGCAATTAGCGCAACCCTAGCTGATAGCTACTAAGAGATACACTGTACCTAATTTGACCAAACCTGCGCCTAATATGCACCAAATGTGCACCAAATGTGTGCCAGATGCCGTCGTGAAAACGGCTACTAAGAGATACACTGAACCTAATTTGACCAAATCTGCACCTAATCTGCATCAAAATTTGCACCAAATGTGTATCAGATTGCCGTCGTGAAAACGGCTAATATATTCTCCCTTATTCCATTCCTTCCACTGTCCGATGGAATTCCACGATCCGTTTTAACTTATGTCTGCTGCTGTTTCGAAATCTACCCCCGTTTGCCCTAACTCACGTCCCTTGCTGCTGACATCTACTCCCGTCCGTTTCCGTCTCCTGGGCTCAGTCTTATAAACGCCGTGGAATGGATATGGCAACTGGCTGAAGTTCAGCCGCAGAAAACGACTATCAAATGCAAAATGGTTTTCACGCATTTTAGTCCATCGTATGTTGACGGTCCAAAGAATTATTTCGTTGACTCGGATAATCGTTTGTCGGCACTGGTATCACTTGTTACCAAATGTCGTGAATAGAATAGTACGGCATTTTATAAAATTGGGCCCTGCTTCCCGAAAGAGATCTGTGCTATAACTCACGTCTCCCGCTACTCCGATGAGATCTGCTCCGTCTATCCTACTCACGTCTCCTGCTGTTCTGTCCTGCACACGTCTCCTGTTATTCTGCCTAACTCACGTCTCCTGTTGTTCTACCCTAACTCACGTCTCCTGCTGTTCTGTCCTGCACACGTCTCCTGTTGTTCTACCCTAACTCACGTCTCTTGCTGCTCTGAAGAGATCTGCTCCGTCTGTCCGGCCAGCTGGTGCATGTGCGCTATCTCGGCCTGCAGTGACTCCATCGTATCCTTGGCCTCCTGTTCCCGGTCGTGCGCCAGGTCCACCATCTTCCACGCCTTCTCCACCTCCTGCGCTCAGAACAACACGCGGAAGATGCTGTCAAACCCTACGAATTATGTAATTTATGTTTTATCCAATTTCAAACAAGGAAGTAAATATGGGAATAAGGATACAAGCATATATGATATCGTCGTGAAAGCGTGATCGCGATCGTCGTGAAAGCGCACGATTCGTCGTAGCGTTTCTCCCAATGAATTCCGATAAATATTTATTCAAATGAGCATATGCTATGCACGGCAGACAGTAAGTGACGGCTAATTTATGTTCATTTAGTTCCCATCGGCCAACGTGTGTCAGACAGACATCAAACAAAATATTGTTAAGATGACCATTGTTAAAATGAGTCAAAATAACAAGTACCCTTTTGCATGCAGTAATACCCAGCTCCTTAGCTGCCATACCCGTTTGAGCGCCTCGATGGCCTGTTTGTCCTCGGCCGCCAGTTTGAGCGCCGTGGCCATCTCAGCCGAGTGGGCAGCTATCTCGGCCTGCAGCTCACGGTATTTGTCCATCAGGGAGCGCTCGTTCTGGTGAGACCGCTGCAGGGCACTGTGCAGCTTACGGTACTCGGCCTGGAACTTCTCCAGAGACGTGTCGGCCGACAGCTCCTGCAGCACCTGTCGAAACGGGAAACGCGTGGTGTTCGCATTAGACAGTCCTTGCATGTAGGTGAAACGTTTCACAACAAACACGGACTCGACCAAGAGACTGGTTAAAAAACTGCAAATAATTTATAATGCACTGGAGTTTCTAGAAACCGCTATAAATGCTCTGACACCGCGCTCTTATTAACTTGCCCGACAGTTTTGCATACCTATTACAAGAACAAGTTTAATGCTGACAGTCTCGCCTTCCTATGTATATCTCATGGTAAATCGACAGTCTCATCTCTTTTAACCCAGTGTCGCCTGTCAGTTCCATCTCGTCTATCGTCAGCCCTCCCTCGCCTGCCAATAGTCCCATCTCTCTCGCTAGCAGTCTCACCTCCTCGAACTCCATTTCCATGTCGTCATAGTTCAGCTCGACGACGCCCACCGACTGCTGTCTGTCCGGCTCCGGCTGACCCTCCTCCCCTCCGGAGTCGCTACCCGCTCCACCGGCATGGTTCTCTGCCGCCTCCGTCGACGATGTCGTGTGAACTGACCCCATCTTATCGGCGCCTAGCGACATCCTCGACTCTGTTGCCATCTGGGAAAGCGAGACCAAGCATGGTATGATCGTAACATTATGCAATAATAACTAAAAGTATTGCATGAGATGTTGCATAATGTTTAAATACAGCTTCATGCTATTACGTTGCGAGATCTCATGCATGCATAATACTTTCGGTTTTGATCTCAACTTTGTGACCGAAACACTCAGGATGGGATTATTTATAATCTTGGACATTGTCCGTAGCTCGCTCAATTTGTTTCGATTCATACTAACCTCCTTGTCGTTGTCCATGATGCTGTTCAGGATAAATGCAGGCCGGGTTTCCTAGCAGTGTGGAAATAGGCGTCTAAACAGCCGGCTCTTCAGTTTACTTCTTTTTCAATGTTTTATTCAATGAGTGCGCTGCTGTAAAATTAGACGTGAATCTAACACCGTTTCACTTTGCATCTTAAGTGCTTTTAGTTGATGAAAGTATACTTGCGATTACAAGCTGGAGCAAGTTCTCAACCTGGAGCACCTGAATTATGAACAATATCCTAAAATACAGCTTATTCTGATTTATTTCACGATTTATAGCAGACACCAAGCAGACACTTAGCAGACATTCGAGAACTTATCATACTGCATTCAATGTGTATCGGTGCACGTGCTTACCTGCGAATGCTGCTTTCTCTGCATGATATAATAGCCCAATGATGGGATACAAGAGTCGCATATATGCTCCGCAATATTCTGCATTTTAGGCAAAAGACAAAAATAATACAATTTGCAGGCATGAATGCACTTACTACGGATCTTCTGAAAGCTAAGATGACAGTGGCAGATTATTATGAGAATGACTTCTAAAACGTTTCATTCCTTCGGCTTTCCTCCAATCATTAAAAAATGTCGTCTAAAACAACTTATAGCGCACCAACTGTTCCAAATAGTATTGCAAGGAGAGTACCAATTGGATATAGGTACCTATTTTGCAAAAGTAACTGTTCCAAGCTGGTCCGCTACCCACTGTAATCTAGTTTCACCTTACCAGCAATAGCTGCAGCTCATCCAGTGTATAATGACCGGCGAGTTCCGGCGTTCAGTTGACGTTTCGGGCCCGAAATAGTCGCCGGTCCACAGGCTAGAGCGTCACGGCAGCTGACACCGTGATTCGTCATTGGGTCACGTGACGGTGCCGCCGGCCGGATGGGCCGCGATCGAAGGCCCCGGCCGCAGCTCAGCCCCGGGGCTGGCGCAGCTCGAACTGGCAGGAGGCGTGGCCCAGTCAGTCTGACAATGGTGGAGTGAAATAGACCAGACGGGCGTGGTCTTGGTAGTCTGTCTAAGGTTGAGCCTAACAGACCAGAAGGGCGTGGCCAGCCGGTCTGTAGGTGGACGGACGTGGACAATGCAGTCAAGTCTGTCTAAGGTAGGGGAAAACAGCCAGACGGGTGTGACCCACACAGTCTGTCTAATGGTGGAGTGCTATAGATCAGCCGCGGACGTGGCTGAGCCATTCTGTCGAAGGTGGGGTCTGACCGTTTTGCTGGCTGTTCAGCCTGTCCCACCGGGTAGCTCCCGTCCTTGTGGGATGGGCTATGCCACTGCAGCACTACTCGGTAACCGACTCATCCCAATGTGTCCTCTCCACCCTCTCATCGGAGTGGTCTATAAGGCCGAAAGGTCCTATAACCAAAGCCAGTAAAACAAGCAAGCAAAGATAAAGTATTAAGTTTAGTTTAGTTTGGTTTAATGAGGGCATCATCAACGGACATAAAAGGCTCAATTACAGATGAAGTCGAAGGTTAAAAATAAAAAGTATGTCTAACTATGGGCCCTGACCTGGCCTGACCTGCTACTGCTAGGCACGCAACTGTCGGCTGATATCCAAGCAGCAGAGCCCGGAGAGAGTCTACGACCGCGCTGCGTGTCGCCGAGCGCCTGCAACTAGACTGTGCCGCACAACACGCAGTAGCTGAGGCTGAGGCCTAGGATTTGTCAGTGAGGAGCCATTGTGGAATAATGTCATACACCTACGTTTGTTTTTCATTTTTATAGCAGTTTATTGTTGGGTTTTCTTTTGGTTGATACCAATTATCCCAACATTCATGAATTCAAAATCAAATAAAAAAAGTGATCACAAGAATCTGACGGCCGAACAGCAGCAACAGCCAAATTGAGATACACACGTTATTTATGCATATTCCTAGTTTATTTCGATGTCATGCGTAATCGTTTCGGCGTAGTGTTCAATAATCAGACATGAGTAAGGTTTGTACATACGCCATCGAAGAGGGAGGGGGGAGGGTCGGGGAGCTGCTTTCCAAAATAAAGGCAAGTCGCAATATCTTGACGTAATTTGATAATTTAATATGCCCTGCCTGGAATCACCTACCTGACGATGACGCCCTCGCAACTATGCTCACCCTCATTATATGCTGCTGTAAAATTTCTCAATTGAACATCACTAAGCAATATAATTCGCCTGATTATTACGGTTCACCATTATTTCTAGCTGGTAAGTACCTACCGAACGACGTGCCCGTTCAGTAAGTGCGGCGGCTAATTTGGGCCTCTCCACGCTCCAAGTAACAGGAACGGGATCCGGCGACCACACGAGTTCCGTTCCGGCGCTGTCTGACGCAGAGCCATGAAGTCATTTGTTCCGAGCTGCTACGCGGTGGGGCTAGGCCCCGCCCTGCGCTCTGCTTGCTCAGTTTGCCAATAGATGGCAGGGCTGTTTTGGTACGGCTCCAGTTTGGAGGTCCGTCGCCGAGACAGACACCAAGACAGACGGCGGGCTGACGCCATTCATGAGTCTCTCCCAGCTCAGTATGCGTCCAATATTTTCACTTTTTGTTTTCTATTGAATGTTATCCAGAAACCATCCAGATTATTTATTGGTCACTTATGTCTTGCAATAAATATGCGATTTGAAAACCAACGTTCAAAATCGAAACACGAATCGGGAGAATCTAATAGTTGATTTCGGAAGCTCACAAACAAAAAATTGATAGAGCTACAAGTCGGACGCCGCCTATTTGCAGCGCGTCTGTCGTCCGTTTCCTGGTCGGTGCCGCAGTGTGTGATTATTGTCTCTACACCTGACAAATTAGCCAGCGAGCAGAGCGGCGCGAGCGCTGAGAAACCGGCGCCGCCGCGTGCGAACTGTTTATCGAGTCTTCCGGCGCCGGTGGCGACTGCGGCGATATAATGGCGCTTCCGGCGGGGCTGCGCGCCGCCTCGGTACGGTGAATGGCTGACCGACTCGTCCGCGCTCCTCGGGCGCCCAGCGTCTTCCCACGCGACGGCAGGCGACGTGGCAGCGATACGGGAGCCCGAGGTGTGGGTAGGAGAAGCCGGGTTGGCAAAATGGTCTCCCATCTCTATCAGGTGCAGGCGAACAAAGCGCTAAGCTTTTTGTCAATGCTTTGTTGTTGATTATATTCGTTAATGCGGGTAACCAACTTTTACGGAAGTATCCGGTATGAGAACATTCGAATGAACTCATCGGACGGATCAGGTCCGATGGCTGATTCGACTGGAGGGTGCATTTGATATAAATATCAGCGCCCTCGAAGAGACCTATAAACAGATCCCAGATGTCATATTACAAGCACCAACGTAATCTGTGAGTAAATTTTATCATCCAACGATACCCAAACATCAACTTCTGTCTAATCCTGGCTGAAGTTGATGCTCTCTGAATGTGCATTGCAAAGCGATTCTTCTCTGCAATTATTAAATGCGTCGTCTTATCGTGTCCTGTTTACTAAATTCATTTACTGAGGCATTAGACATACCTAAACGAGGAAAAATCAGAAATATGTAATAACACTCACCCTCGAATAAACTGATTCACTAAATATTGTGCATAGAAGGTGATACGACACTTTGACGTCTACACTTGGGAAAGATGTCTGTAACCAGCATTCGTTGAAATAGTTTGCCATCTTACATCAGCAAATTGACCCTGTAATATTATGACACTCCGAGGAATGCGGTACTGAGCTGGTATGTTTGCTATGCAGTCGTAAAGAGACTACCGAGTACTGCCTCGGTAGCTTACATTTCTCAGAACAGAAGAGTCCGATCGATAGGACTGACATCCGGCAAAGGCAGCATTTGGGCTATCGCGTGTCTGTACGAATTCCATTGGAGAAGACTAAGTGGCCAATAGCCCATACACTCTTTGCACTGTAATAAAGCATAAAGGTAAGATAACATTGTCATTTTTCAAAAGATACCTTCAAGATACAGCTTTCCGTTATAGGTCATTTTACGTTTCTATAGCATATCTCTTGATTTCTATTACGAAAAATAAAACTTTCTGTCAAAATTCCAAAAAATGTCGCATTTTACAGACTTTGTTATATACTTTCTTATCTCGTTCTTCATTTTCACTTTTCTAAACTTCGGGGTCGTAGCTTTGTAGTTCTTTTCATGTTATGTCATATTATGCACAGATATTGGTGCTAGCTCAAGAGAGCAGACTTCTTGAGAACGATTGCCGTGGATACATGTTTTTCATCAAAATCGACCGAATATTATGTCACTTTGACGCCATTTCTGGACAGTGGACAACCTATAGCAGCTACGAATGTTTTTTTACAGATGTTGTCAAATTAATGCAGCGACTGCCTATAGGCACTGAAAGTTTTGTGATGGCATATTAGGTGGTTTAGAAGATACTATGTATATCAAAAAGCGGAAAGGGGTCTGTTGAGCATGCTCCCCATTGTCAAGGGCGGGGTTTAATTGGGTGAGGAAGGCGAAACATGCTCCATAAACCTAATTATTTTTCAAACCAAAGTCTCTAGTCAAGTGGTAGTAACTAGTAATAGTGCAACAACAGCAAATGTGAATATCAATGCCATATTGAAGTCAGTGATCATTTAGCAGTGCTTTTTATTATGATATACGATGCCAAGCTGTTCATACGTTGCTTTGTAATAACAACTCAACCCAACGTCGCTCAGAGGCACGGAAATGCTAACACGATTTATTCTACATCAGCGTTCCCTTTTTGTATCTGTATTCTGTTGGAGTCTGGTGCAATCTCGCCAGCTATGTGTCTGCATGTCTGTCGCAATGTCTGTTGGCCTGTCTCACTCGCGCCTGCTGTATGCATACCTGTGTCGTCTGCAGCGCCGGCCCGGCTCCTGTTGTGCGGGGCCGTCATGGAGACTGGCTGGGGGAGGGGCTACTGCTCGAGGGGGGGGGGGGCTGCACAGCTGTTTGGCCAGCTGAACTGCCCGGCGCCGTGTGACACGACCTGTGCCTCGCCGCCGTGACATCTCTGGCATTGAGTCACGCGGTACAAGCGTGCAATGATCGGGCAGGCAGATTTGTTGGAATAAGGTGAATGATGTGAATTCATGACCATTTTCATGTAATCTAAATTACTTCTGAAAGTTCATAGTGGTGCGACTTTAGATGAAAAGGAAATAGCCGATTTTGATGTAGTTTCTTAGGAATACCTAGGCTTGATATGACCATTCATTTACATATATTTTGCGTCTACTCTATGCGAACATTTTGTGATCGTGATACCTAATAGATGCGCATTTCCAAAGCATAGGTACTTTTCTGATTTTCTGAAGCTCATAACATTGTGTACGATTCTAAATATGCTAGGGTGGAAATGAGGTGGCAAC